AAATGCTCGGGCAAAGCTGAGGCGGTCTCTGACTGCAGATGACTCTCAGGTTAACTCGCCCTCTGCTCCCATGAGAGGCGTCACTGTCGGGACCAATTCCCCACCCCCAGTCTGCTCCCCACCCGACCAATCACAGCCCTTCTCCACCAGCACCATCGACCAGCTGCAGCTGTCCCTGCTCACCGCCCCGCTCAGCGACCCGGTGAGCCCAGCCGTCAATCAGCCTCACCAGCTGCAAAGCCCCGCCTTCTTCCTTGACTACGACTCCCAGAGTGCACCAGGGTGTATCTCCTCTCTGGAGGTGTATGAGGATTTTGGGGAGGCAGGAGGAGGTGCAGAGAGAGAAGCTGATCCAGATAGTTCTTTTAGACCACATTACTGCTAGTTGAAGGATCTTATACTTCTTCAATGTTGTAACTTCAAGAAATGAAAAAACTGGTTTTCAAAATTAGACACATTAAAGTTATAATCCTTTCAGATTCACTTGGCCTACAACCACCTGTTATCATGTGACCAAATCTGTCAAACAACTGTTACCAAAGGTCATCGATGAACTTTCACTTTCACTTTCACTGAATATTTCTCAAATTTTTTACAATGTGTTTTTGTAGGTTTGTTTTTTTCCACCAACAACAAAGACTTAGTTCAAACCATCTTAAATCACAGCCACATTTGTCTCTGCCACCTGTACGATAAAGCTGTTACTATATTACTCTTGAATGGTGAATAAACCATCAAATGTTTTGCCACCTCCTTCTTCCAAGTTTCACCTTTGTACACAACAAGCAGCGGCTCATTTTCCTTCCAATTGCCAGTGTTTACATGAGTTCAAGCAATCAGAAAAACAATCATCAATGTTGATAATTGGTTTTTCTCGGTCGCCTTTTTAAAAAGAAATGATAAACACTGGCTACATTCAGCCAGTGGCCAGACACTCAGAGCCTCCTTTCTTCTGATTGGCTCATTGACCTGTTGTTACTAGAGCTTCAGAGGGAAGTCTGAGAGAGGAGATGTAGAACTACACTGAGATGGTTTTGGTACTAAAAACCAAAAATATATGTTCTTATATTAGATATCAAAAGTAAGTGTAAAAGTGTAGACATTCAGCAAAGGGCCACGGATCGGACTAGAACACGGGCCACTACGGTAAGGGCTAAGCATACATGGTACGCACTCTACCAGGTGAGCCACCAGGCCGCCCCAAACATCATTCAATCTTAAAATAACCTGAAGATAGAAATCGCCACAGACACATAATTGTCACATAATTGGTGGCAATTTAAGTTAGAGACCAGCCTCATTCAGTTTGAGGTTAACTGATGGTTTGTCAACAAGATGATTTCCCCAAAACCTGACTGTAATGACATTCTTTCAGGTTTGTCTGTGTTGTCCCAGCGAGACGACCTTCATGACGACCACGCTGACAAAATACACCGCCAACTGCCCTCATCTTCTTCTCTGTCTCACTGTCTCTCTGTGTCCTCCCCCTCTCTCCCGGAGACTTTCTCTCCACAGAAGCATCTTAATGAATTGGCTGCTTCCTTTTTTGTGAATTGCCTCCCCCAATCAAGCGCCGATAATTGCAACAACTCTCTGGGCCTCGTTGCTGAAGTGGACAGAGGTTTCTCAGGTGAAAGAATGAAGGTTATGGCAGCTGACCGTGCATCGTTGCGTGCGTCACAGGTGTTGGGGACCAATGGGTAACAGCTGCCTGTGACCCAAGGGCGGGGGGGGGGTGGAGTGCGTGCAGTTTTTATAAAGGTCAGAGGCGAGAATGTTACAGAAGATACAGCAAGTTAGACAGCGACACAAGGTAAGAAATGGGACTTTGTTACACAACTAAACTGAATTAATTATTAAAATCTTGTGTTGTTTTTGCCAACACACGTAAGTGACTGCTTTCGCCATTTTCTTTTTTTTTTTATATAGACTATTACACTTTTGAGAACAACATATTTGTGTCCAACAAAGCTAAGAAGTTGCTTAGTGAATCTCGAATCATCCACACAAGGAGCTACAGTGGGTCTTATGCTGTTTCAACTTTTTTTTCCCCCCTGATTAAAATTCCAGTGACTGAAAGCTTTAGAATGACTTTTTTTTCATTGTCCATGACATTACTCTGACTGACCTTTCTGACACTTTCATCATTCCTAAGAAAAGCCTTGTGGAAAACAACTGTGGGAAGTTAAACTGTCCTCCATGAGGGAGGTTTTATGTTTCTAAACATATGTGCATTTTGTTCTTCAATAGGTTCATTAGCAGAATATCTCAAAAGCGTTTGGTGTGAAGTGTTGATCATGATCAAAAAGCACCGGCATGTAGCCATTTAAACAGCACTTTACATTATCGATCATATCTTCTGAACACGAAGATATAGAACATTTTATCTAAAAACATCAACCACTGTTTTGATTTTCTTTTTTTTGTGTACCAGTTTTGTTTCAAACTCCTATAAAATTCATCTCTGATCCCGTGCTTGTTTGTTTTTTTACATGGTGTATTTTGTTGCAATGGACAGCAATATTTTGTGGTGTATTTGACACAAAATAGGGCTGTACATTACAAGTCAACAGTAGACTTTAGACAACAATAGCGCTTTTTCACTTTCACACAAAAGTGCAGCATGTTTTAAACATTTTTCTTTATTTTTTTTCTTTATTTCCTTTTTCTAAATGTTATAAAGTCATAATGTTTCAGGTCCAATTGCTTGAGATCTAATGTTAAACTGATTAGCATGATGTGAAAGTGATAAAAAACATACACAGAATAACCTGTTGATAGTTATTTATTTCACCCGTGACCTGTTTCTGTTTTCAGATGAGACCATCTTTCCATCTTGGTGCCTATCAGTTCACCCTCTTCTCCCTCACCCTCCTCTGCCCCGTCCCATGGTCCGTCACACCATGCCCCCGACCCCCTACTGCCCTACTACCCACAGTGGATGGACCTGCACTGGAGTCTGCCCTGCTGCACCTTCAGGCTGCTCTGGGGGACCCACCTGAAGCCTGGGCCGAGTGGCCTCAAGACCCTCGGCGAGCCCTGCTGGAACCCCGGCAGAATGCGGAAGAGGTCAGGTCCTGGGAGGAGGAAGCGCTGCTGAGGGACCAGAGAGGAGACCTGATGGCCCGGCCACTATCGCCCTTTCCAGGGGGTCACTCTCTGGAAAGCATGCACTATCAGGACGGAGGAGATGGGGAGGACGGTGGAAAAAGGAATGAAGCTCTGACCTCCATCGCTGGAGGGCTCCAAGCCGTCAGCCGGGAGAAAGGGGGATTCGGCTTCCGCTTTGGGAGGAAAAGATGGACTGACCGGGGATGGAGGGATGAAGGGAGGGGGGCACAGAGGAGGACAAGTGGAACTGATGAGGGAGGGTTTTTTTAACGGGAAAGAAAGAGGAGTTTGATGGGAGAAAAGGAGGGTGAGGCTGCAAGGAGATGATCCAGTAAAAGGAGTCTTTCCATAGGGAGGGTGCTGATACACTCGTTAGGCAATGGCTTCCAGCAACAGGCGATACACTGGCATAAAAAAATCTAAAATGTATTTAAGTGATTCATGACAACTTAATGTTGCTGGAAAAGTTGCCCAGTGGGTCACTGCCTTTAAAAATAAGACGCAATGAGAGGTTTAGTGCAGGTTGCACTTGAGTTTGAGGGAATATTTGATAGAACAGGAAGAATATAAAATGATTTTAGTTAATGCCCCCATCAACCCAATGAAATCACCATTTAATTTAAATTTGAAAACGAAACTATACAAAAGAAAGAAAGAATAAAATTAAATGTATATGCATAAATGGTAGTATAATAATTAAACACTACAAAAGAGCAGAATGTAATTTTTTGCCAATGTTTTCATCTTGTTTGTCTCTGAATCAGGGTACAAAGAAAACAGTGACACACATAGTAACTGGATGTATCGAAAGATTACAACTCAGCATCAGATGTTAAAGCTTCTCTTCAAAAGTGAATGTAAATGTTAAGGTAATTATGTCAAATTCAAGGTCTAACAGTGTAATAATATATGAACACACACACACACACACACACGCGCGCACACACACACACACACACACACACAGGATGGCTTGAATATAAGCAATGAACAAAGCCTTAAGAGGTGCAGCCTGTAAAACAAAACTCTCAACACAGATTTGGGGGTCAGATGTTTGATTCCTTCAGCAGTTGTTTGTCCTCACACAAAACAGTGTGGGATCATCACTGTTATTGCCATAAGCTTCTCTCTAAGCTTTCGATTCCCTCAGTGTCAATCATTCATGTGGTTTTTACTGGGACCCGAATCATCCACAGAGGTCTCCTCCTCTCCAAAACAAATAGAACAGGTGATTAAACTGGTAAAAACACTGAATAAAACAGTTTCATGTTAAAATTCAGTGTTTCTCTAATGGTGTCTAGCGCTAACGTTTGCTTAGCTTTGGCTGTCACTCGATTAAAATATATCATTAAAATCCAAGATTTATAAAGTCAAAATGTGGCTTAAAACTGGATTGCAAGCTTCTAGCAGACAACCACAACGCTGACATACAAGCAAAGGTGATATGTTGCCATTTACCATAATCATTCCATAGTGAGATACCTCACTCAGTTTTCAGAGAACCGGAGTTACCCTGGTAATCAAACCATTTCTCTAGGTTTCAAATTTGCTGGTAACTTTTGGGGTACTGTGAGTACACAGCCCATTTCCTCTGAAATGTGGTGGACAAATTATAAAGGAGCATGAAATGGAAAATTTACATCCCACCACTGATTTTGATGCTAACACGGCTGAACGCTTTTACTTGTAACAGAGTATTTCTAAACTGTTGTAAATAATTTTGACTTAAGTAAAAGATCTGAATACCGATTACACCACTAGGGTTCCTTCATGGCACTTATCTTCAGGGATCAGTCCGCAGCTTCCTCTCTGCGCTGTCTGTCGAAACCTGATTCGATGAAATCTGCCTGGCAACTTGTTCTGAATTATTTGATTGGTTGAAGCGCGCAGAAGCAGTACGAACACCAGCCCGAGAACAGCAGGCAACACACACACTCCTGTCCTCCAGAGAGGTTTTTTATTTTCTCCTTTTTAACAGACGTTTTGTCGTCTGAAAACCATGACTCGAGCAACGACCTGGATATTTCTGTTTCTGCCATTAATGTGGCAGAATTTGGAGCCAGCTGGAGGCGGTAAGTTGACTGTCGTCGGTCACATTTCAAAAACGAAAGTAAAGAGACGCGTTGTCTCCATTTTACAACAGTTTACAGTTACATCTAACTAACGTCAACGGTTTATATATATGGACATATTTCAGAAGACATGATGCTGTCTACCTGCTCCTTCTAACGCCGTGTTACATTTCTGATGAGTTTTGGACCTTTCCCATCCAGTCATATTTTCAGGTCCAGCTACACGTTATTTCCTCTCAGATATTAATGTGAGCGGTTTAGGATTATGATGCTAAAAAGAAATATTAAAAGTTACTCACATGGTAAGATCAAATGTAAAGTCATAAAAGGTTGCATTACTAATGTTTACGCCACTCAGTTAAACTGTTTATAACGTGATATTATCATGTAGGCTATAGTTACATTAATTATAATTGGTCTATGCACACACACAAGCTTACAGTTTCAAGTTCCTATTGACTTTGAATTCTTGGCAAAATCTGAAGCACTCTAGACGGTGGTGATTTAAAAAGCCTTTATTTTTTCATGGCTTCATTACAACAATAAAAACATGCCTAGCGTTTCAGCCATAAGGCCTTCATCAAGGAAAGTATATAATGGCCACCTTTGGGCTCTTCCATTTATAAGGTTTATTTTTCATATCCAAGCAGCACTCCTTGCACTTTGTTCTTAGTGACTTTAATGAAATGTGGCTGATTTAATATGTGTCATTTATCTCTATATGCACTTTCGCTGTTGTTTGCACAGTTTAATAGTAACATTTTATTCCTACTGGTACATGTTTAATTTTAATAAAATCTTGTATGTAGAGCCGAAATGTAAGAAAAGTCCCATCATAATGTTGACGTCATGAAATGCCTTTAATACAAAGTAAGTATAAGCAAATTTTCCTGGTTGAGAACCTAGAGGTATCAAATGCTTGATCAGCAACTAATTAGTTAACTGATTAATCTTTTGAGACATTTCTCTAGAGGAAAATGCAAAACATTTGATGGTTAAAGCTTCTACAATGTACAAATTACCTGTTTTACACTGCAGTAAAATAAATACCTTTGAACTGTTGAAGGAACAAAAACAGCTGTTTAAGGACAGGGCCAGGGCTCTGGGGAACTGTGTTATGTTTTATAGAGAAAACAACAGGTTGAATAATCAAAAAAAATAATCATCAAATTAATCCACAATTAAAATAATTATTAGTTTCAGCCCTAGTTATATGTATGGAATATTATGTAGTCTTTATTGCACATTTTTCAGTCCAATGAAAACAGTCAGTCTGTCATGTATTACAGACTATTGCAGACCTGTTGCTTCACTTCCTCACATAAGTCGAGGTTAGTAGCAACCTGATAAGGAACACGATCACTTCAAAACAACAAACCACAGGCAGAACTGATAACCAGGAAATGGCAGTGGTGTGTTCACAGATCCTTGTCACTGCGAAGCTTTCATCTGCACAGTGGTCACTTTTGTGCTGAGAGCTTCACTCAAATGAAGTCAGAGACAATATAGTTTGATATGCCTCTGGTGTTGTTCTCACATGAAAGCTATCAGACATGTTGACTTGTCATACAAAAAGGTGTCCCAGTAAACATACTGCTAAGTCAGCAGGCACATTACCGGGCCCCCAGGACTGAGACACCTAAATAAGTTGCAGTTTTTATTAAGTTTATTTGTAACACCTGTTATGACATGTCTGCTGTGAAAAGGGTATGTTGGTGAGTCTGATAAAATGTACTTGGTGTGCAGAGGTGGTCAGCATCCCAAATCCATACACATATCATCTCATGATCAATGTAGTTAGTAGAGAATTACCTTACCAGTAGCTAACAGTAGCTGGTTATGCATTTTCTGATGATAAACTAATCTATTAATTGACTAATAGTTGCAGCTTTAATTATTTTGTGTTCTTAGTGGAGGTGGTTAATGGTACTGGTGAGGTGGATTACTTTACCACTAATGTTTTAAATTACTAGTCTAAAGTAGTACAGGGTAGAAAAGTGCAAAGGAATTTATGTATATTTAATTTTATTTGGTGTGTCAGTTATAGGGCTGCAAATAAGGATTTTGATCATTGATTAATCTGTTGGTTATTTTTCAAATAGGTGAGTCCATAACATATTGAAAAACTACCATTCACAATTTATGTGAGTCCAAGTTGTGGTCTTAAAATTGATTATTTTATCTGATCAAAAGTCCAGAACCTGAAGATATTCAGTTTACAATCATATATGTTATCGAGAAGCAGAAAATATTCACATTTGAGAAGCTGAAACCACTAAATGTTTGGATGTTTTTGCTAAAGGACTAAAATGATTAAACAGCTATCAAAATAGTTGTCGATTATTTTTCCGTCAGTCAATTAATTGACTAATCGTTTCAACTGTAGTCAGTTATGTGAATGAAATGATCCCATGTAGCAAAAAAAAGTCGTTGAAAAATTGGTTGAGTGGAATGTGTCACTTTACTTTACGAGCAGCCTTGAACGCACCGTCAAACAGGCAGGCAGGCGACAGAAGCAGGAAATACATCGTTGTTTATCGCGGGCAGACGCAGAGTAAAAACCCGGAGCAAGCGGCGGATAAAACGCTTAAAACGAGTTTTATAAACGAGAGAAGAGACTGCATTTGGTTCAAAATGTTTCTCACCGCGATCTTTGTCCTTCTGGGGACAGGATTGACGGTAAATAGCGGTAAGTGAAAATTTTTGGACACATTAATGTGCTTCAGTTTAAAAGTGAAAGTAAACCAGAGACAGTTGTGACGTCTTTAAAAAAACTCGTACTTCTGTTGGTTATTTGAGTTTAATCTATTAATATAGACGGCTAGTTGTTGTCTGGTTTAGTAATGTATATTTATTATATAGGCCTGCTACATAAAACAGACGGGAAAGAGGAAATTAATCGACTTAATCCAAATGTTAAATAATTGTCAGACCAGCATGTCGTTAACGCTGCATGTGAACCCAAAGGCTGTTCACCACTGTATGACTTAGCTTATTTTGGCGTTCCAAATACTTAAAAGCTCAAACAATAATATATCAGGGCTTGTCAGTGTGATGACTAATATAATTTTCCTGAAGCTCAAGAAGATGGCTAAAAATTTTAAATTGTTTACTTTGTCAAACCAGCTGTTCAAAACCTGCAAGATATTTAATTTACCATCATATAAAACTAAGAAAGGCAGCAGTTAACCACAATGGAGTAACAGGGATTGTTTGGTATTTGTGCTTGAAGATTTACTCAAATAATTGGCTGAATATCAAAATAGTAGCAATCAACTAATTGGTTAATTGGCAAATAGTTTCAAGTGTAAATAGCATCTAGCATACAAGTAAAGTGGAGAAAATACATGAAAGTATAAGTTTAACATTTTTTTTATTTTAAGTATTGTCAACAGTAGTGTAAAAATTATGTTTTTCTTCAAATTATTGCTGCTTATTGATTACCATTTGAAACTAATGTTCTTAAGAAGTTGTGAAGTCATATTCTGCGTGTTCAAAATCAGCAGGTAAACATGACGCTGTCACATTGGTCTAAGTATGGGTGTTTATTGCTCTTTAAGGTCTTTGGCTTGATTTACGAACACCGCCCTTTGACTGGTGTTGCTGAGGCGGACAGACAGCATTGTTAAGATATCTCTGATCTGGCGAGTCAGTCCTAAACAACGTTGGACTGTAACAAATTTCTTCTCTGAGTTTGATTTTCCCGTTCTTTGTTTTCTGTCTAACTGGAGCTTTAGTGTGATACTGATGTAAATATTGGAGAGTTAATGAAATATAATAATGCTATTTCGGCCATCATCATTTATTTCTTACCTAAATAAAGAATATAGCTCAAACTTTTTATTTTTGCCATTTCTTTACTTCAAGTTCTTTACTTCAAAATAAAATAGCTTTCTAATGGGCTCTCAGCAAATTCAGTGTAACAGCAGTATTGTTTTTAGTGACAGTCTTACGCAAGTCTGAGAGGAAGAGAACCTAGTGTTCCGCTACGTGCATTTTGCATCAGTGGTCTGCCACTGTAAAATTATTGCAGCCACTGTAATGTCATGAAGTCACAATTACACAACTCTGCAGTTGGCTTTGAATCTGAAACAACAGATAGAGGAAATGGAGACAGTATTCTGCCATTCCACCTTTACGTTACACTGCCATCAGTTACTATTAACAAAGGACAAATACAATGACAAAAAAAAAAACAATTTTAAAACATAATGATCTAAATACTGCAATTACTTAAAATGAAACTAAAGGGAAAATTAAACAGGAATTAAATTAAAAATAAATTTAAAAAATCCATAAAAAATTCCCCTTCAAGCACTGTGAGGATGACTGTCTGGGCCCAGAGAGGAATAATAAATGGAGACAGAGCCAATTAGTGCAAGCTTTATTTTCTGTAAGTTCCCTAAATGTCATCAGGTCTGACAACATTTAGTTCAATAAAATGCTTCACCTTGGTGTGATACATGCTTGGGTATTTTTAACTTATAGTTTGGTGGTTGTTCATTGACTGAAATCCCAAAGGCAGGTGTCCAAGTGTTTTAATTCGGGCTGAATGTAAATATTTGGATGTGCGTTCAAGGGTTCTTGCCTAGTAAATAGGTAAATAAGGACCCATCCAAAGCATGCTAATCAAATCTATTGGTGCTTATCTGCCTTGTGTAATAACTGTCTGTTTGTCTTTCTTTCCTGTGTGATTTCCAGAGAGGCATTCCCTCACTTACATCTACACGGCCCTCTCCAAACCTGTTGGACTCCCCGGTATCCATGACTTCACAGCCATGGGTCTGATGGACAGCAGGATGATTGACTACTATGACAGTGATAACCAGAAGAAAGTTCCCAAGCAGGATTGGATGAAAGAGAAGCTTCCCAGTGATTACTGGGAGAAAGGCACACAGTCTCGCCAGAGCAAGCAGCAGTGGTTCAGTGTCAACATTGGCATCCTGATGGAACGAATGAGACAAAAATCGAATGAAACAGGTAGGGTCTGTGAAATGTGAGGGGCCGGGCTGGTCTGTCGATTAATTCCGATGAATAATCAGGACCAAATATAATATATGATACATAAATACACTTGCTAAAAATCAAGCTGACCTTTATCTAAACCAATATTTTTTTTTTTTAATGAGATTTCTTAATGTGTCCTGTGTTTTATTCTTGTGACAAATGCATTGTGACTTCTCTCAATGTTTAACCAGAAAATCACAAATATTTAAATTTGACCTCTTCTTCATCTTGTCTGGCGATTTTATCCGTTTCTTTGTTGTTCATTTGTCTCACTGTCCTGCTCTGCAGACGTCCATGTCCTTCAGTGGATGCACGGCTGTGAGGGAGACCTGCAGGAAGATGGCACGTTAAAGTTCATTCGTGGTATGGACATGTACAGCTACGATGGAGACAACTTCCTGGCCTTCGATGACACCAACTCAGTGTGGGTCGCCCCGACTCCTGAGGCACTCCTCACCAAGAGGAAGTGGGATGGTGTTGATGTCCTAAAAGAGTACACCAAAGGCTATCTGGAGAACGAGTGTATGGATTGGTTGACCAAGTTCATGACGTATGGACAAAAACAGCTAAGAGAGGCCTGTAAGAAAGATTTCTGTATTTCATTACTATAACAATTTATTAGACGAGAAGTACAAATTAATAATAGAGGGATTAACTGGTCAAAAATTACTAGATGGATAGATAGACAGATAGACAAATAATAATTAAATTAGTCCACTTCCTTTGGCTGAGGTGTTGTATAGCCTGATGGCAGTGGGAACAAAGGATCTCCTCAGCCTCTCTGTTCTGCAGCGCAGTGAGATGAAACATTTGCTGCTGTAGCTGCTTCTCTGTCCTGCCAGAATGTTGTGGAGAGGATAGTTGGTATTGTCCAAGATGGATGGCCTCCAACTTACATTGCATGCGTCACTCCACAACAGTCCTGAGTGAGTCCAGACTCCTGGCAAGCACAGACCCAGCCTTTTTGACCAGCTTGTCCAGTCTCCTTGTGTTCATGTCGAACATGACGGTTAATTATTAATAATTACTTACACATTCCAAAGGGGTGTTTACTTATGGCCATTTCCTGGATTGTATTATTTGTGAAGGGAAGTTATTAGCTCCCTATGTGGAAACATTTTTCCATCAACAAACGGTTGTTGAATCAGGGTTAAATGGTATTTTATCAAATCCAAAACATTTCAGTACCTTAATGAATCCATTTAGGTTTAGCCCTCAACAAACCAAATCCAATACAGAACCATAATCATAATCCAACCCTAGGGAACACCGTATTCAGTAACAACCATGATCCTTAAAATTGGTTCGGAAGAGATCTGAAATGATAAAATATGTCACAGCAGTGGTGTTTGACTTTTTTTTGTCATATTTGTGTTATAATTAAAATTGTGTATTGTGCCAATTTGATTTTGTAGTAGTAGTTACAGCTATTGATTATATTTATAATGAGTCATTCAGTTTATTATGAGAACATCAATGGCACAGTTATCGTGTGGTGATATTGGTCTGTAGCATACTGCTACCTAACCACCATGCAAACAGAAACTCACGGTATGCTTTCTCTTTCCAGCTCCACCTCAAGTCCACCTGTTTGCAAAGAACTCAAAGGTTAAGACGAACATCATTTTGACATGCCTGGCCACAGGTTTCTACCCAAAAGACATCACCCTGCGGATCAAAAGGAACGGCCGTGTTCTCTATGAAGATGATGGATTAACAAGCTCGGGCGTTCGACCAAATCAAGACAACACTTACCAGAGGAGAGACAGTGTGGAGATTCTAAGAACTGACAAGTCTACATACACCTGTGAAGTCATTCATAAAGCATCTGGTGTAAACGTTGAGAGGGGATGGGGTAAGAATATTTTTCTTAGTGATTTTTTTGTTGTTGTTTGTCAGGTTTTTTTTTTTCTTTCTTTCTTTTAAATCAGACTTGTGCATTTTGAGTGCTGTTTGCCCAGTGCAGTGCTGCATTATATCCATTTTCTGATCACAATCCACACATCAAAATTTTCAAAGTTGACATTATTGCAGAAGGCTCCCGATGACATCTCAAATGACTGAAATGATAGAAATGACCTCGCCAATAAAGGTTGAATATGTCTTGAGCCACAAAGAAGCCCCAAGACTAGTTAGCCCTGAAGGATAATCCAGGTTTACTTTCACTTGGGAATTTCTGTTAGCTTTAGCCATAATTTCTATAAGTGACAGTGACTCAACTTCAGAGAGCATGTCGACATAGCAACATGAAAGTTAAATAGAACAAAAAAAGATGGGGAAACCTATACAACCAAACTTATACAACTGAGATTCAAGTTGTGATAACCAGACAAACAACCATAACATTTTTTTGGTTTTGGCTTATGGTGCACTGCAGTAACTTAAATCTTCCCCTGGAGATTACTATGTCTAACACGTTTGCCTTTGTTGAAGATGTGATTGGATTAATCATTTTTCATATCACAGTCAGCAGTTACATGAGACAGAGTGTGTACTTACTGAGAAGAAATATTATTTACATAATTTATGTAATTAAATATTAGCATTACTGTCACTGAACATCGGCAGATCCATAGCATACATTGGCACCATAGTAAATTGAACCTAACAATTAGAAATAATGTTGAATGAAGAATGCTGAATATAAAACTAATGTGAATGTTTTCTGTGTTTTAGATCACATTATTCCTCAAGAGTCTGGAGTTGACGGTCTTACCATTGGTATAGGTGTGGCTGTGGCTGTGGTCATCTTGCTTCTTGTGGTTGCAGCAGTGCTGTTTGTGTTGTACAAAAGAGGCAAATTTGGTAGGTCCAATATACACTCAGCGGTAAATATATTAGGTACACCCAACCAATACTAATGCAGTCTAATAAAACAACTATAAAAAAATATATATGTTTTTAAAGATNTTTTTTGGTTTTGGCTTATGGTGCACTGCAGTAACTTAAATCTTCCCCTGGAGATTACTATGTCTAACACGTTTGCCTTTGTTGAAGATGTGATTGGATTAATCATTTTTCATATCACAGTCAGCAGTTACATGAGACAGAGTGTGTACTTACTGAGAAGAAATATTATTTACATAATTTATGTAATTAAATATTAGCATTACTGTCACTGAACATCGGCAGATCCATAGCATACATTGGCACCATAGTAAATTGAACCTAACAATTAGAAATAATGTTGAATGAAGAATGCTGAATATAAAACTAATGTGAATGTTTTCTGTGTTTTAGATCACATTATTCCTCAAGAGTCTGGAGTTGACGGTCTTACCATTGGTATAGCTGTGGCTGTGGTCATCTTGCTTCTTGTGGTTGCAGCAGTGCTGTTTGTGTTGTACAAAAGAGGCAAATTTGGTAGGTCCAATATACACTCAGCGGTAAATATATTAGGTACACCCAACCAATACTAATGCAGTCTAATAAAACAACTATAAAAAAATATATATGTTTTTAAAGATTTTAAATTTCAATTTTCACTGAAGTCAAGACAGAAATCTCAGGAGTTTCATTTTGTCCACCTCACTTAATGTGGGATGTTATCAGTGAGGTTACAAAGACCTCTCAGTAAATTACAATACAGTGTTGACTCATGGTCAACACTAATGACAAATTAATTCTCTTTTTCCATCTCTGTTGAACTGATGGAATACTGAGGTCAGCGCTTCTCATAGCAATGTTAACAATCAAACATATTCAGAATGACACTGTGATAGTGTAGAGTACAGTACATTCAAAGTGTTCACACCAAGAGAAGCTTGTACATTTTAGTCATCTGTGTCATAAGCAGGAAAATGTGCCGTTGGTTATAAGGTGCAAAGGTCTGTTATTATTTTATTATGGACGCCAGAGGTCACATTGAATCACACTCCTATGAATCATTAAGCGGTACCGGCGTTTCTTACCTTTCATTCACTGAGCTGAAGGTTCACTGAGCTTACAGTCTCTTACATGAACATAAGTTTGTACTGGGAGCGTCCAAGTGGTGATTAGTTTCTACGTCACAGTTAGCTGTAGTTCTCTGTTCTCTCCTTCTAAGATACATACAATAACTTCTACCACCTGTAGTACATTTCCTCTGAAATGCCACTAAAGAATACAAAGAGATAACATATCATTTTACTAAGGATTTGCTTTTGCTCATGGAGTACATCAGACTGCTTCCTCTTTTAAGCAAAAGAGCCAATGAAACATTAGTTAGCATTATGTATTTTTAAATAGACACAGTGGAACCCAGAATTTCCTAATTTAACAAAATGGATGTGTATGTTTTGAATTGAAATAAATGCAGTTGTTGATTAGTGTGTTAACGTAGTGTTTGTTCACAGGACGTGCTGGCAAGACATACACCAGAAGCCCAGGTAAAAAAAGTTACTTGTGGTACCATCTATAGTTTAGAGCAAATGTCACTCAAACAGGTGGAAATAGTGCATCTGTTTGGGACTATTTTCAGCAGCATATTGATCCACATTTGGTGCTCTAGTATTTGGGGAGCAGGACGGTGTGTGTGGGACTGAGTCAAAATAAAGTGCAGTGTGTGTTTAGTGTTTATATTAGGGCTGGGACGATTATCCAACGTAATTGACGTTGTCGATTATAAAAATTATTCGACTTGGAATTTTAGTGTTGACGTGTCGTGTAAAACCACACAGGGTAAATGTTCATAGAACAAAACAGGAACTTTCTAATGGGACCGTTTATATCCATCGTCTTTGGTTTACCCGGATACAAGCGCAGCGCAAGGGCTGGGACAACGCGGTGACGTAATTGAAGTCATTGACTATGTGAATGATTTGCCTCTGTGTAATCTATTTGAAAAACATGGCGGCGTCTACCAGCAGTACAACGGAGCGTGGGGAGCAACACGCGGCAAAAAAGGCTCTTAAATTCCCAAAGCTTGGGAATACTTTAATCTTGACACCAACAGTGCGGTAGTCTGCAGACTCTGCAAAGTGCATCTGGCATATCACTCTAGCTCGACAGTCATGCACGAGCTAACTGGAAACTAGCTTACTGGAGACTAACTGGAAAAATAATTGCAATAAAATAACTGTTAGGTTAATTAAAAAAAAAATTGTTAGATTTGTGTAAAGAATAATCGTTTGGGACAGCCCTAGTTTATATATATATATATATATATATATATATATATACATATATATGCCTTTATATGCCTTATTAATATTATTGATGAAATGTAACCGCTGCAACTTGTGCTTTCCACACTGCTAACTTGATGAACTTCTTTTGAAAAGGCAGAAGAAATTTAACATAAGCTACAGAATTAAGTTCAACAAAGTGGACATTTCTGGATGTCCGATGGAGCTCAGAGGAATAAGATATATCCGGCTTTGGATACACAATACAATACACACTCAGTATTGGTTTGAATGTGTTTTTCGCACTTAATACCAGACATGTCTTTTAAGTTCCATATAGATATGTTTTGCAACACATTGAGTTTATTCATTTTTTTGTGTGTTTGTGTTGACTTTGTTTTTATTCACAGTTCGTGCACCACAGGTTGTAGTTACTCCCCTAAGTAAGTGCTTTATTTCTCTGCTTTGCAATCTTTCAAAATTTCTTTAAGTTGAAAAGATTTTGCACTAAGGATATTTATATTTTGTAACCCTGACTCTGAGGCAAAATATATAAGGAAACCCGAGAATTTGGATAAACCAAATTCAAAATTTGTAAATAAATTGAACATAAATCATCATTCCGAGGCTTCCTGAAACAATGAACAAAAGACCAGCACAGAAACACATTACACAGAACATAACATACATCACCAACCTTTAACACACCACACGGGCCTTGTCCATAGCTCTAAGTGTATCTGAGTCTGATTGGAGACCCAGGCAGATTCAGTCTGGTTGTTTGGTCTGCACCAGAGTTTGATTGACAGCTTTCAGATCAGCCGAAATGAATTGAGCCCAACTGGTTTAAAAATGTTTTGGAACCACTGACCTGCAGTCAGGCACAGTTAGTGATTTACGTTTTTCTCTTGTGTGAAGTTGACAGTCCTGATTCAAGTTCTATGATCATCAAAGAGTAAAAGTAATGTAAATGTAGTAATGTAAAAATTGCTTAAAAAATGCTGATTGCAGTCAACAGTTTTTTTCTCTGTGTATGTGTTTGTGTAGTTAACAACACCTCTGCATCCAGTACCGCTTCTGGAGGCAGTAACAGCTCGGCAGCCAGTGTCACCTCTGAAGAGGAAGTTACACCTCTCAATCCAGTGAAGAAAGGTAAACGTGCAGTGCTACATAATTAAATACTGTATTAAGATAATAAGGTATCATTGTTGATTCTCACCTTATTAATATGAAGCGGGTTCACAATAATTACATCTAAATGAATGAAGTGCTTAAATGTGACCAAAGTCTCACCAAACATGAGGTCTGAAACTTTTTTACTATTTATTGCTGCATGTGCTGCACTTACATACAGTCTGTTCATTCATACCTAAATGCCTTTTCTGTTCCGCACAGCATCAGAGGAGTCTCTACACAGCGGTGATACTGGTGTCTCTGGTGTCTCTGGTGAGGCTTATAAGTATCTTTGTTGAGTAATTAAAAGCTGCAGTGAGCAGGTTCACAGTTCGGCAGCTCAAGTGGCAGCTCGGGAGAACTGCTGGAACTGGTGAAGGACTGACTCACTCAAGTTACAAAACAAGAGGTTACTGAGAAATATGTTTTGTAATTTGAGTAAACATACTGAACCAAAAATGCCTTTCAGCCATATGAAATGAATTGAGCCCAACTGGTTTAAAAACGTTTTGGAACCATTGACTTGGAGTCAGCAGTTAGTGATTTACATTTTTCCCTTGTGTGAAGTTGACAGTCCTGATTCAAGTTCTATGATCATCTAAGAGTAAAAGTAATGTAAATGTAGTAATGTAAAAATTGCTTTAAAAATGCTGATTGCAGTCAACAGTTTTTTTCTCTGTGTATGTGTTTGTGTAGCTAACAACACCTCTGCATCCAGTACCGCTTCTGGAGGCAGTAACAGCTCGGCAGCCAGTGTCACCTCTGAAGAGGAAGATTCACTTCTCAATCCAGTGAAGAAAGGTAAACGTGCAGTGCTACATAATTAAATACTGTATTAAGATAATAAGGTATCATTGTTGATTCTCACCTTATTAATATGAAGCGGGTTCACAATAATTACATCTAAATGAATGAAATGCTTAAATGTGACCAAAGTCTCACCAAACATGAGGTCTGAAACTTTTTTACTATTTATTGCTGCATGTGCTGCACTTACATACAGTCTGTTCATTCATACCTTAATGCCTTTTCTGTTCCGCACAGCATCAGAGGAGTCTCTACACAGCGGTGATACTGGTGTCTCTGGTGTCTCTGGTGAGGCTTGTAAGTATCTTTGTTGAGTAATTAAAAGCTGCAGTGAGCAGGTTCACAGTTCGGCAGCTCAAGTGGCAGCTCGGGAGAACTGCTGGAACTGGTGAAGGACTGACTCACTCAAGTTACAAAACAAGAGGTTACTGAGAAATATGTTTTGTAATTTGAGTAAACATACTAAACTTCTTACCAAAAATGCCTTTCAGCCATATAAAATACCTAAAAAAGAAAGAGCACATAATCACTAAGTAGAAAAAGTAACATGTCTGCTGATTTTCTGCAGGAGAATGATCCAGGCAAGAACCCCAACTCCGAGAATCATCACCTGGAGAATTGAGATGGTGTTCACGTGATCTGAAGTCTCTGCAAATACCGACCAACCTACCAGTATAAAAGCTGCATGTACTCCTGGGCAGGGGATAGAAATGAAAAAGGGGAGTTTGAAAACTTAATTTAGAAATTAAAATGGGAAAAAACTGTCAAAAAAGAAGAGAGTATGTAAATAAGTTCTCCACCGCTTCTTTAGAGGGTTTTCCAGATTAAATACAGAGAAACTGAAATTGCCTCAACATTTAAGAATGATGATGAGAATTTCTAGAAAAAAGACTCACTTCTTTGTGTAAAGTTAAAGTAGTGAACCCAAACAGGACTTTATTGGGACAGGTCTTGAACTTCAGAAGAGTTCAAATATATTGACCAAGTGTTGAATAACGCATGGTCAATATATTTTTATGGGTTGGTTAAAAGAGGGAAAACATGTGAAAGTGTTCAGTGTTTTGGTGAGGCCTTAATAAGGAAATGCATATAATACAAAAAAGAAAAAGCTGGAAGAAGAAATGCTGAAATGCAGTTGTTGAGGATCATGCTGGTGCCTTTTTTTTAAATTGAAGGGATAGTGATAAGCAGATGCAAATTTATTATTTTCCTCTTTTGGGCTTTTGGGCTCTTGTATATCAAATGTAGAAGTTTTATCTGAAATGTATTTTGTTACTCTTTTTAATTTTTTCTCACAATTTCTTTTGCTAAAAATTGCACTTTTGTTTCTAAATATCTTTAGAAAAATGCTACCAAACAATAATCAATTTGTTGGTCTAAGAAATCAGTGAATCCTAAAATCTGTGTTAACATTTACAGTATTTGTTCAATGGTAAGACTAATGACAAATATTAAATGTTTGTAGTTTCTGTCTAAAACGTTTAAATTAGTTAAATTCATTAACAAACTAATGTGAATCAAAGCAACAATTACGGAATGACATTAAATTAATGCAAATTTTTGTACTGTCTATATTAAAATGACAATGGTAGGACATGAACACAGCTTAAGCAATTTGTCTCCTGTTTGTTTCTCTATTCTGTTTGTACAGTGTGTCTGATTGCATGTCTACCTACATTAAATAAATAAGTAATTTGGAAAAAGTCAAATTGAAGCTGTGTATTTAATTAAAACTATTGTAGTAAAGTTGCACCAATTTTGTGAAGAAGAAGATAACAGCAGGTAACAGACTCCCCTGCATTTTGATGTCCTGGAATCAGCTCCATGAAGATCACTTTAACTCTGAGTCAGTTACTGTGGTAACTTTAACTCTGAAGCCAACCTTGGTTCCTTGGCAGCTTTTCCTAAACAAACCTTGATTGTGTCTGTCTCCTGTCGAGTCTGAAGAAGATTCTGTTACCTTTCATCACACACTCTGTACCAGAGCTCATACCAGAGCACGTAAATCTGCAGAAGATCAAAATCTTGGTTTCAGTTTGTTCCCCAAGGCCTGTCTTTTGTCTGGTTGTCCATCAGTTCCCTGCACTTGAACAGTCACTGTACACTAACCACTAAATAAACACGTCTGTGTGGAGTTTAAGATACATGAGACACTGATCTATAAAGAACTGTTCATGAACATGGAACATTCTTGTCATGTGTATTGATCATGTGAGTTCATATTGTTAGGATGATGTAGGAAAGCTAATTTTGATCAGGGTTAAAAATAGAGAATGGTATTGAAAATATAGGCACAGATCTGGGGAAGGCTACAAAAACATTTCTGCTGCATTGAAGGTTTACAAGAGCACAGCTGGAGGAAGTGGAGGAAGCAGGGAACAACCAGGACTCTTCCTAGACCTATGCTTTCCTGTATATACTAAGTTACAAAATGTCTTGATTACAGAGGTGACCACCTGATTCTTACTCTGGCTGAGCTCCAGAGAGCCTGTGTGGAGAAACAAGAAACTTCCAAGAGGATTGAAGGTTCCCAAGAGCCAGGTGAAGGTGTAGCACTGGAGACAAAAGTAAGACACGAAGGGAGGTTCATTTTTAATGTGTTTGCTGAATGTGCTGGATTTACTTCACTTAAATGTGTGTAAGTAGCCCAAACATCTGCATCTGTAGCAAATTCACATTAAGTTTCTGTTTTCACACGCACAGTACGGCATGACGTCACTAGGCGGCAGCAGAACACGACGCTTTTTTGAATGGACACAGTTTGAGCGGCGGGTGTTTGTATCCGCTTATCAAGTGTGTGTTTGGGTGTGTTTGTGTTTCAGCTCCGCCTCAACACACGGAGCAGCAGCCCGGTTCAACTGAGCTAAGCACCCGTTAGAGACTTGGAGGTGTTTATCTGCGTTTCCAGGTGTGTTTTCTAAAATTTTTACGTTAATTTACCGCTAAGCTAACAGTCTCTGCGTTAGCTTGCGTGTGCGGTGTTACCATGGTGACGCTCCGCGGCCGAGGCAGAGGGGACGCGGATCAGAGCAACGGGACGCAGCGGCAGCAGAGGCCGACCAGGAGAACCGCGACCCAACTGCGGGCTCCAGTAGGGACCCGGAGCAGGAGCACGGACCCCCGGTCGGAGGAATCCGCACTGTCCAATGTGAGTCCGTCCGTTTGTTAAAAAACTTTTCTAAAGAGGCTTCGCTGCATCATTTGAGTTTTAATTCTTGTCATTATTAACTGTCAAAAATGATTAAAGCTGTTGCACAAGTGCATGAATGACATCTTCCACTAACTTATTAGCAAGCAAAATTGTAAATAAAATTGTGTCAAAGTAATAAGCCATATTAAAGCAGCAAATTTCAAATCATTATTGTTATTGGAAATACTATAAAATCATAATAATTAGGAGTCTTAAAAACAGCCATGGCTGGATTAACCTCCTTAGGGGTCCTGGGGCAAAGATTTGCCTCTATTGACCCCAACTATACACAAGAGTTTCACACAGTTTGTCACAGAAAGGTGAAAACAAACATGAAAAATACATCATTCAGAAATAAAATTAGAAAAGAGGATAAACAAGACAACATAGTATAAGGAAAAAGACAACATTTATAAAAAATCAGAAAACAACATGTTTATAAAAATGTATTTAAGGGTTAGGCTTTGAATTTGTCATTGGAAATTACATTAGATTTTATTATGCTGTGTAATTTAATGTTGTGTTGTGTGTGTGACATATCTTCATATCTTATGCTGCCATTAAACAGTCTTCATGGTGAAATGATGAAAAATGATGAAAAAAATAAACATTTAAGGACTTTGCTACACCAAAGACTTTTCTTCATCAGTGGATGGATGGAGCTCACAAAGTCCTTAATTGGTTTCTTTTTTGTCAAACTGCTGTTTCCAAAGCCAGTAATGAACCCTCAAGCTCAAAAAGACAACATGCAGTTTGTTCTTATGCCACTGTACCACACTTTAAATCATTTACTTTATAACTATAAAACTATAAAACCCATTAACCAGCTACCAACATCCACATTTAAGAAGCAGTCCAATAGCCAAGGGTTAATCATTTAGAAATAGAGTACTCAGATTTACAATTTTGTCTGCACGTGCAGTGTCGCCTGTATTGACGTTGTACTCAACAGTGTGAGTATGATGCTGACTTCTTGTTAGTAACATTCCAACTTCTGACATGTTTGACGTGTGTTTCAGGGATTTAATGCTATGGATGATGAGCAGAATCAGGTTGATTCTGAAGAACACGAGAATGAAGATGTGAAACCACCGAAAACCATCATCAGGTCTGATCAATTGGACCAGTGAATAATATCTGATTAACGCCTTCACTGCTGAAATGATTAGTCAGTTAATTCATTTTATTTTAAATTCTAGACATTTTATGGTTGTGTGTCATTTAAAAAAAACTACCTTGTGACTTTGTGTGATAAATGAATTTACAAACAGGTAGGTGAGGTTACAGTGATACTACAAACAGCTGCCTGATGAACTGATTTCCACCTTGCTGAAACTTTACATAAATGCTCCATTTTTGTTTTGTGTTTACAGGAAATCTCTAAGGCTTCAAAACACTGCAGGTAAGGACAGTGACATTAACAATAAGCACTAAGACCTGGAATATCAGGAGTTTTGAGAAAGAAAGTCATGGAATTTGTTGAACTCTTCACAAATGTGTCATAAAAACGTCAGGTAATGGTTATTTAAGTACATTTACTTCACCTTAGTACAGTCTTAAAGTTCTGACACATGGGATTGAGACTTCATAGTTTTGAGAGGGAAGTGTTGTGGAGTATCACTGTAGTACAACGACAGAAAAACCAGGTTACAACATGTGTTTGTTGACATTTGTCTGGTTTTATTTGAGGTGCAACATATTGGGTATTGGTTGCTTCAGTCAACATTTATATGCAACGATTAGTTGTTTAATCAATTAGTTGTTCAACAGGAAATTAACAAGCAACTATTGTAATAATTGATATATCTAACTGGCTCCAGCTTCTCATATGTGAATATTTACTGGTGTTCTTTGACTTCCATGATACTAAATTGAATATCTCAAAGTTTTGGACTGTTGGTGTGGCAAAACAAGGCGGCTTTGATGACCTCACTGTAGGCTCTTGGAAATTACACCATTTTCTGACATTTAATAGAATTACAACCAATCAATCAATCAAAAAAATGTTTGGTAGGTTAATCAGTGCTGAAACTAATCATGAGTCAAAGCCCAACATGAGTATATGTGTGCAAACAGGTGGTAGGAAAAGTGGGCTGAGGAGAAGCACCAGGCCGACCAAACCAACCAGCAGATACCAGGCCTCCAACATGTTCGACGGCATCAGCACCAAGTAAGAAAAACTCTCTTAGTTCTAAAAACAAGAGGATGTTGGTATCAGAGCTGAAACAATTGGTCAATTAACTGATTCGTTCATCAACACACATTTCCTCGGTCTGGCTTCTCATTCTTGAAGATTTGATTCTATTCTTTGACAGTAAACTGAATATTTTGACCTGTTCATTGGGGAAAAGCAGCAATCTGATGACACGATGATCAGTCACTATTTTCTGACATTTTCTTTGACTAAGTGATGAATCTAGAAAATAGTCTAATTATAAGATTAATTGATTATGAAAATAATTCATAAATAAGATGTAAAACCTCTTAGTGAAGAGGTAAAAGGGGATTGTTGATTAAACAAAATGTGTGATTTTGACATAAATTGTCACCAGTCAGCTTTGACTGGTTTTAACTGTGAAGGTTAAACACAGGCACGGGTTGTTTTGGAAGGCTGATAAATAACGATCTTAACACTGTTTGTCCGCTGTTTCACATCTGTTTATGATATGCTTATTTCTGCAGGACAATGTAGCCACATCTGGGCTGTGGTGCCTTTATTTGCACCGACCTGGTGTAACAGTCCTGACGGATTAGCTTTAACTATATCATTTATTTCTGTTATCAGTTAGCTCCTTCACAGTCTCTCCCAGATGAGGGCAAATAAATACTGGTATGGATGTGATAAACTAGTAGATATAATCTGAGTGATGAATATGAGCTTATACGCTGCTCCCTCCACAGCACGACCAGGTCAGTCCTGAAGAGGATGGACAACATGAAGAAGAAAAGGCGGCTCAGTAACAACAAAGAAGGAGTGAGTAATGCAGTTACTGGATTACAACACTTCCATCCTGATAGTAAACACCTTGTCTGGCCTGATCTGGGTATGCGAGTGTTAGACTCACAACGCCAGTGTACTTCAGCTCATTTTAAGCAGAGCTGATAGTGAGGCTGTTTTCTGTTCAGACGTTGTGTTTACATTCAGCAGCAGTTTCAGAGCCACATTCACACACTGTGTCTGTGTGTGTGTTTGTGTGTGTGGGTGCTGCCTCTTCTTATCAGGCCGATTTGAGGGCGGTGCACCCGGCTGCACCCTGCCTTCCCCTCCCTTTGCTTCACCACTCATGGGGAGGGGGCGACATCTCTATCAGCTGCCACCAGCACCCGAAAGCCAGAGAAGCACCAACCCTTTTTTTTTGTTTTTGTTTGTTTTCATCACATGAAGTCGACATAGTTTAGATCCACTGGTTATTAAATCAAAATGTGAATTTATTTCAATGAGTTTTTATCATTCTGATTTAATTGAATGAAAATTATCACAGTGAGATGACGTGTAAGATCAACCTTGTTTTCATTTTC